CTGAAAACCTGAAAATCTGAAACTCGACAACTCCGAATTTCTGAAATTCCAAAAAAATCCGAAATTCAGAAATTCGAAAACTTTGAAATTCAGAAATTCAGAAATTCAGAAGTTCAGAAATTCAGAAATTCAGAAATTCAGAAATTCAGAAATTCAGAAATTCAGAAATCCAGAAATTAAGAAATTCAGGAATTCTGAAATTCTGAAATTCTGAAAGCCCAGTACTCAAAAAATGGAACATCTAAATTCTGAAATTCTGAAAATGCCCGTTTTCAGCAATCCCACCTTATCGACGTGGCTATTCCATCATTGACACCACCACCACCGAACCAGAAGACGTTCCAGCTACCCGGAAAAAGTTTCCAGCTCCAACCACTTCTGAAGCTCCAACGACAACGACGACTACAGAAGCTCCAACCACCACCACTACAGAACCCCCCACAACTACATTAACCACCACCACAACGACAACGACGACCGAAGTTCCAACCACGACGACTTCTGAAGCCACCACAACTTCAGAATCCACTAGTACCATGGATTCTGATTCAATGCTACCGTAGTCCTTCCAACGGAGACATATCCTCCAGACGTGTCATCTGGAGGCTCCACGACGACGACGACTTCTGAATTGACATCAGAAGTTGCTGTGGAAGAGGTTCGAAAAATTCAAAATTTCAAAAAAAAAGTTAAAATTCCAGGAAACGTCTCCACCAGTCAAATGTATGGATTACGGAGATTACTGTAGATTGTGGGGTGTTCTTCAATTGTGCTATAGGGATCAAGTTTCAAAGTTGTGCCCCAAAACTTGTGATTCCAGATGTGCATTTGCATCTTGAGCCCTTTTTTCTTTCTTTTTTTGATGATCTGAGAAAAAGCGTCATTTTTTTCTGTTCCGTATGGCATATTGTCAAGTTTTGTATGTATAAATGGATTAGTAAAGCTGACAAATAATGACAAAACACAAAAAAAAACTGGCAAGAAGGGCCGAACCCACGACTTGCCGCACACTGGCGCCCACCACATCCCTTACACCACACCGACCACATCCTAGTAGGGTTAAAAAGACGGTTAAGTGTTTGTCGCTTCCTCCTCCTTTCCGGAAATTCGGGGCTGACCGTTCTAGAACTTCAGACTGAAATATATTGGAAATTAGAAGGATGTTTAGTCTCGTTCACCTTATCAATCACACTTGTTTCCTTATCAATTCGATTCTTCTTGCGTCTTGCGATTCTTTTTTCCCAATGCTTTTTAGGCGATTTGTTAGCTCATAAAACTGGATATGTGTTAATCGGAGGGAACAAAGAAGGTGTAGGCAAGTCTTGAGATAAATCTTGTCATTATTTCCTTTGAAACCTAATTGATTTCAGAAACCTATTTGATTAATTTATAAGGAAACACTATTATGGAACGAACTCTTGTTTTTAACTCTTGTTAAAGGGCCTAATTAAGCTACACGGGAGCAAGACAGCTGCCAACTTTGAATTCATATAACTCACTTTCTATAAAAGATATCAAAAAGTGGTCAACTGATAAAATACTCTTGGTATCGTGATAAACATTTTGTTAGTTTACCACTTTTTGGTATCTTTCAAAAGAAGCAGGATAAATTATGTCAAAGTTAAAGGATCATATCTAGCTGCAAGGTTGAGGGACGAAAGCCAACTTTGAACCTATATAATTCATTTTCTAAAGAAGATATCAAAAATTGGCCAACAGATAAAGTATTTTTTATATTATAAGAAACATTTTGTTAATTGCTGTCTATTTGATATCTCTCACAAGAAGCTGGATAAACTAGGTCAAAGTTAGTGGGTCAAACTTAACATCGCGGTTTCAGGACGATCGTCAACTTTGAGCCCGTGTAACTCATTTCCTATAGGAGATATCAAAAAGTGACCAACTCATAAAATAATTATCAGATTATCAGCAACATTTTATTAGTTTATTCTTTTTTGGTATCTTGTACAGGAAATGAGATATCTTGACTGAAAGTTAACATCTTAGGGAGTTCCTATAGTCTGAAAAAGGGGCGGAGCTTTACAGGGTGAGTTCCAAAATCTTTAAATAAGAATAACAGCTCTTTTTGATATGAATTTTCAAATTTCTTTAATTTTAAAGTTTCAAAATTGCGATACCGAGAAACTTCGGAGATCTAAAAATTGAAGCGATCTTCATTTTTTTGTGTTTTTTAAATTTCAATTTTCTTCTAAACCCAAAAAATAGATACAATTCTCCAAAACGAAATCTCATCACCGGCAGCTTTTTCCCGAATTGATAAGCCAAAAAGAAGAATCACGGGGGGAGAAAAACCAGTCCGCCATTGTCTTCCTAAATCCCGACGTCTTCGAATTTCGGCACGCCTTCTTGTTCTTCTGGGAAGAAGGAGGAGGACAGGTTATTTCATTCGAGAAAAATGAAGATTTCCCTCATTTTCCCCCCATTGTTTCATTTTTCCCATGCCAATCGGGATAATTTCTTTTTTTCCAATTTTTTCTAGCAACGCGGGTGCCCCCCCCCCCCCGGCTTCCAGCTAAAAGGACCGCATAACTTTAATCAAGAATATCTAGCTTCCTGTTGAAGATATCAAAAAAAGGTCAACTGATAAAATGTTTATCATATTATCAGCAACATTTTGTTAATTGACCACTTTTTGATATCTTTCACAGGAAGCAAGATAAACTAGGTCAAAGTTAGAGGGCTATTCTTAGCTACGTGGTGGGCAGTCAGCTTTGAGCGTCAGCTTTGAGCTCATATATCTAGCTTCCTGTTAAAGATATAAAAAAGGTTAACTGATAGAATGTTTATCATATTATCAGCAATATTTTGTTAGTTGACTACTTTTTGATACCTCTTACAGGAAGCTAGATAAATAGGGTAAACGTTAGAGGGTCATTATGAGCTACGCGGTGGGCACGACGACCGCCAGCTTTGAGCTTATATATCTAGCTTCCTGGTAGAGATATTTTTGTCAACTTATAAAATGTGTATTATATTATCAGCAACATTTTGTTAGTTGATAGTTTTTTGATATCATCTACAAGAACTGAGATAAACTAGGTCAAAGTTAGAGGGCGATTCTTAGCTACGCGGTGAGCAGGACTCCCAAGAACTTTGTGCGAGTATATCTAGCTTCCTGTTAGAGATATTAGAATTATGTTAATTGTCAAAATGTTTATCATATCATCAGTAATGTTTTATCAGTTTACTACTTTTTGATATCTTTCACATGGACCAAGATAAATTGGGTCAAAGTTAAAAGCTAGGGGGTTACTGTAGTTTGAAATATTGTGCATAAATTGCTTTGTTTTCAAGCTAACAGCTTGATTTTTACACCAATCGAAAGAACATAAAATGTTATATTATCTCAAAAAAAACAGATTAACATTTTCAGAATGCACTGGAAAAGCTGGGCGATTGCGCTCAGCGTGGTGACGTTTTGTCTAGCTGACGAGGCTCCAGCCGGATTTCCAGAGGACCATATCGATTTGGTTTTTCCCATGAAAAGTGAGTATCACAATTTTGGGATCTTGAAAATCGGAAAGTTCCAAATCTTTCGGAGCAAAAATGAAGTTTCTACACCACCGGGAAGCTGAGATACGTCCGTCTGAAGAGACGCAGACGACGAGACTCTCTGCCTCTCTGACCTCTCGAATTTCAAATAGCTGTATCTCGGCTTCTAGATGTGCTAGAAAGATGATTTTTACATAGAAATGGAGCTTAAAACTTGGATTTTAGCATTTGCATGATAATTTTATAGAAACGGATTTTCAGTGAAATACGAGAGTCATCTCCGCCAGCACGATCTCCCACCACACTTCATTGGTGCCAATGAGACCAACTTAATCCCGTTGACGCTTCGAATGGAGGGTTCTAGAAGGAAACGATGCTCGTGTGGATGCTCCGGATGTGATATGTTCCCGAACCGAAGCTGTTGCTCGAGTTGTGAGTTGTGGGGGTTTTTGAAATTCTCTGGAAAAAATACACCCTTGATCGGATCTTTGACAGCCGAGCTTCAGACTCTTGGAAATGGTCAAAATCGGTAGTGTAGATTCCAAAATTCTTTTTTTTTCGAAATCCGTTATCAGTAATCTAGAATCCTCCTTCCAGCCTGCTGCTCATCTCAAAAACCCATCCCACTCGCTTGCTGCCCTCCACCTCCACCACCAAAACCCTGCTGCCAACCAGCATTCGGTCCATGTTGCCCAGCAACCCCAAACTGTTGCCCCAAACCCTGCTGCCGTGGTCGCCGTCCAGAATACGAGGAATACGAAGACGAGGAGGGCAATCCAGGAGGCGTTCCAGCACCACCAAATCCTCCAAGAACCTGCTGCCCACCACCAACACCAGCTGCTCCTCCACCACCTCCACCTCCACCACCCCCGGCCCCTGAGGCTCCCACTCAATGCTGCCCAGGTGCTCCATACGGCAGAACTCCCTGCAGATCCGGATGTCCGAATGGGGACTGTGGATGTGGAAGACCGTGCTGTTATTATCAGAATCCAACATGTTGTAACCAGGGTCAGAAGGCGTGCTGTCCTCCAGAGCAGCCATGTTGTCCGGAGCTTAAGCTGGATACCAGTTGTCTGGCTGCCGTACCACCATGCCTCAGAGCTTGTCCATCTTGCCCATGTAGAAAACGATTGATGTTGGGAAAACGAAGCAAACGAGCCGCGCCAGGACTCCATTGTCAGCCAGTTGGTCTCCTCGGTCAACAATCCCCACCAACGCTCATCTCTCAACCAGTCAAGACCATTGTCAAGTCTCGAGCCAAAGCAGCTGGCACCAAAACCGCGCCAGTATCAGTCACCAAAAAGCTGATTGAACAATCCTCGGACCACGTAGAGTCCCCACCAACCGCCGGTCGTTTGTACGACTTCCGTAGAGCTCACGTCAGAGTTAAGCGTAATTTGGGAGGCGAGGGAGGGTGTCAGTTGTGTCTGAATGGAACTCCGTTGAAGAGAACGAAGAGATCCTTTGATTGTGTGCCATGTACTTATCTTCAACCACAATACTCGGATTGGAATCCATTCCTTGGTGATCAACGACCAAGAGGATCGCAGTCACCAGTGGGAACACCGATCGCTGGGCATAGAACCAAGAGAGCTGGAGTGAGTTGGTCTACTCTTTTCAAGGGCGTATAACTCGGTTCGAATTCGGAATTCCGTATTGATCTAAAAACTAAAATGTAGATCCTGACGAGATCTACAAATTAATATACACATTAACCACTTTTTCCGAAATACTTCTCGACTGGGAGTCGTAAAACGAGACATAGGTCAGAAGCATCGATAAGTTAGTCCCACTTTAGCATCCAGGTTAATAGACTCCTAACTTCCTTCAAACTTGATGTTTTCGATCAAACTAAAAAGTGAAATGTAGAACTAAATGAGAGCTACAAAATTATATAAAATTTGCTGAATACCGTATCAGTACTTTTTGAATGGGAGTCGTTAAACGAGGCATAGGGTAGCAGTGCGTTACTTTCGCTTGCTCTCTAGATTAATCAGTTTGTAACTTTCTTCAAACTTGACATTTTTTAACAAACAAAAAACTGAAATATAGAACTAGTAACGAGCTACCAAACAATATATAATTTGATTAGTTTAACTCAAACGCTGTTGGACGGGGAGTAGTTATAAATAACTAACTAGTTTAGCAAGTTTCGATTTTTCGTCTAGATTATTTGGCTCATAACTACCTTCAAACTTAATATTTTTGATCAAACTAAAAATTAAAATGTAGATATTGACAAGAGCTGCAAAATGACATATAATTCAACTATATTCATGACATGGCTTCGCGAATCAGAGTCTTTGAAGGGACTACTTCAGCTCGGATGTTTCTAGGCTTCTGGTGGTTTTTGCAAGATGTAAATTTAATTTTTTGACTTAAACCCCAACCACTAACTCAAGTGTTACTCCTTTAAAACAATCATATATTCCAGTGCTTGCCACATCCCCAATGCACGGTCCATGTCCGTCGCTACAAACGTAACCTAATCGGATCGCAATACTGTGAGCCTTGCAACGGTCACTACGGACGTAAGAAGAGAGAAGCCGAGAGAGATCAATGCTTGAGACGAGAGAAACGATACGCAGATGAGCAGTGTGATAATGATGAGTTCAGTATTAATGAGAGGAGCAAACGACAGGCATATAATCCGAAAGGAATCTTGGATATTGTGAAGCTGTTGTCAAAGGCGTCGTCGGGAGGTGAGTCTTGATTTTTGGGACTTTTTAAAGGCATCCTAAAATCGTAATTCTTCATTTTTGATAAGTTGATAAGAAGTCGCATAGCTCAGCGGATCTCCATGACTACTGCACATAATATCTCCCAATTTTCCAGGCAATAACCCAGGAGGCTGCATGAAATTCCCGGCATGTGTGTTAGCGCAAAAGAAGCGCAGAAAGCGTAACGCTGATCGACTAGAGAAGTACTATCAAGCAGTTGAGGAGCACAGAAAGCAAGTCGAGGAATACGAAAAGGCTATGGAAGAGCACAAACGTGTCAAAAGACAATTCTTCGCACCGGATAACTCAGCCGCTTGTGTTCCATGCCCAGCTTGGGTGACGTTGGCACTGGCGAGCAGGAAGAAGAGAGATGCGGACGGAGAAGATGATCATGAGGATAAGAAGCAAATGACTATTAGTGAGGCGATTGCGGATATCAGGTCCAAGAAGGGATATAAGGAAGGGTTCGATGATGATGTGAGTTTTTTTTTTGAAGACTAGTAACTTTTTTCAAACTCAATATTTTTGGCTAAACTAATAACTGAAAGATAGAACTAAACACGAGCTACAAAATGGTATACAATTTGTTCATTCTGGATCTACGTCTTTTTAACTGAAAGTTGTTAAACACAACTATAGTTAGACTCGTCGTTCAGCTTGTTTAGCTTCGCCGCCCTGATCAATCGACTTGTAACTACCTTCCATCTCAATATTTTGGACCAAACTAAAAACTAAAAGATATAACTAAAAAGGGGAAAAATAATATAAAATGTGGATATTTCCACACTAAGGCTTTTCGACTGGGAGTCGTTAACAACCACTAAAGCTAGCAGCGTAGGCAAGCTAAGGCTTCTAGTTCATAGACTCGTAACTTTCTTCAAACTCGATATTTTCAACCAAACTAAACATTGAAATGTAGAACTAAATAATAGCTACATAATAGTATACACTTTGTTTAGTCTCGATCTACGTCGTTTTGACTGAAAGTCGTTAAACACAACTATAGCTAGACTCGTCGTTCAGCTAGCTTCGCTTTGTCGTCTTGATTAATCAATTTGTAACTTCCTTCAAACCTTTTATTTTTGATCAAACTTAAAATTGGACTTTAGGACCAAACAAGAACTACAAAACAATAAAAAACTTGCTAATTGAGGGGTTTCACCTTTTTGACTGGGAGATGTTATAAGGCTAGCCGTCTAAGTTAGCTAGTTAAGTTTCGCCGCCCAGATTGATTGCCGCGTAACTTTCTTCAAACTCAAAATTTTTGGCCAATCTAAAAAATTAAATACAGAACTAAATAAGAGCTACAAATCGATATATAAATTGTTGATTACCGGTTTGAGCCTTTTTGACTGGAAGGCGTTAAACGCAACACGGGCTTAGTTCGGCTACTATCGCTTTGTCGTCTATATGGATTGTCTTGTAACTTCCGTCAAACTCAATATTTTTGAACAAACTAGAAATTGAAATGTAGCGCTAAGCATAAGTTACAGAACGATATGTAATTTGGTTATATCCCCTTCAACATTTTTTTACTCGGAGTTGTTAAACGGCACCCAGCTAGTTTTACTTGGTTTCCATTTTAACGACTCCCATTGAAAAAACGAAAAGTCTGAACTATTCAAATTTTATACCATTTTATAGGACTATTAAGGAACTACAAAATGATATAAAATTTGATAGTTTTTGAAACTTTTTTTTGATTTGAAGCCGTCTAAAAAAACTAAGGCAAACTCCAAAAACTCAAGAGGTACGAATTTTATAACATTCGATAGAGAATTTTATGACCGTTCAGCTAAACAGCAGCATAATTTGAATTTCCAATTTTTAGGAAGACGATTCCTCGGAAGAAACCATCGAAACTCGTCGTAAACAACGCAGAACCTGTCAGCAATCAGATGACTGTCTGAATAATGTTGAATATGCAGTTTTCCAAAAAGTCTACGCTGAAAAACGAACGAAACGAGAGGCAGTGTTCCGAAGAAAGAAGTGCACGAGATGCGGAGTCAGTGGATTGTCTCCACATCGTGTTAAGAGAAATTTCGGACAACCGAATATCAATGTTTCGGAGCAGAATTGTATGGCATTCCCGCAGTGTCGGCATAGAGTGAAACGGAATTTATTCGGAGAAGATTGTAATATATGTACACAGGATACCGGATTGAAACGAAGGAAGAGAAACTTTGGAACGGCGGTGAGTTTAGAAAAATGTAAAAATTCTGAAATTCTGAAATTCAGAACATCCAAGTAATTCAGAAATTTTGAAATTCTGAAATTCTGAAATTCAGAAATTCCGAAATTCCGAAATTCAGAAATTCCAGGAAATTACAAAAATTCAAAAATTCAACTTTCCGAAAATTGGAAGTTTACAACTTCAAAATTTAAAGTATTGGAAAGTTCTGAAGTTCTGAAATTCTGAAATTCTGAAGTTCTGAAGTTCTGAAATTCTGAAATTCTGAAGTTCTGAAATTCTGAAGTTCTGAAATTCAGAAATTCAGAAATTCAGAAATTCAGAAATTCAGAAATTCAGAAATTCAGAAATTCAGAAATTCAGAAATTCAGAAATTCAGAAATTCAGAAATTCAGAAATTCAGAAATTCAGAAATTCAGAAATTCAGAAATTCAGAAATTCAGAAATTCAGAAATTCAGAAATTCAGAAATTCAGAAATTCAGAAATTCAGAAATTCAGAAATTCAGAAGTTCTGAAATTCAGAAATTCAGAAATTCAGAAATTCAGAAATTCAGAAATTCAGAAATTCAGAAATTCAGAAATTCAGAAATTCAGAAATTCAGAAATTCAGAAATTCAGAAATTCAGAAATTCAGAAATTCAGAAATTCAGAAATTCAGAAATTCAGAAATTCAGAAATTCAGAAATTCAGAAATTCAGAAATTCAGAAATTCAGAAATTCTGAACTTCTGAAATTCAAAAATTCAAAAATTCCAGGAAATTCAAAAAATCCATTTTTCAGCAATGTTACCCATGTCCTGGAACCCGTGCCTAATCCACCGCATCCTCCGAAAAAATCCGATTCTCAGAAATCAAGAAGTGCAATCTAATTAATTACATAATTACCCTAATAATAATTATCTTCGCTACAAATCATGACCTTTTAATAATAAATAGTGTCACTACATACAATTTTTATTAATAGCAGAAGAACAATGCCCGTAACAGTTGCAAAAAATATAAATCTCGAAAAATTTAAAATTTTGGTCCAAAATAGGAAGACTTGATGATGAAAAATATGTTCAAATTGATGGGATTTTATAATGATCGAAGATCTCGAAGTTCTCTCAGACGGAATATTGATTGATTTGGTGCCAAAAGATGGATTTCCCGGGGGAACGAGGCGAAATACGGGTGGAGCATCGCACTGGCAGCTGAGACTCGGGATTCGGGGCGGAGCTGAAAATTTTAAATTTTTTTGTGTTTTAGTATTAAAGAGCTTTAAATTCTTTATCGAATAGTGTCAAATTCATACCTCCTGAGTTTTTGGAATTTTGAGAGAAATCGCCAAGACTAAAAAGTCTTCACTTTTTTGTGTCATTTTTTTAAAACGCCTTTGAACCAAAATAAAAATTTATAGGTTTATAAACGTTATATAATTTTGTATATCTTAAAAAGTTCTATAAAATGATATAAAATTCAATTATTTTATACAAACCACTTCTTGTGTGGGGAAGCGCTAAATTGGACACCAAGCGGAACTAGATAACCCGCGCTGCAACCCTATGTCTCGTTTAACAACTGCCAGCAAAGAAAAGTATCGACAAGCGTAGTCAAGTAGTATACCATTATGTAGCTCTTAATCAGTTCTATATTGCAATTTTAAGTTCGGTCCAAAATAATGAGTTTGAAGGAAGTTACGAACTGATTAATATAGAGGGCAATCAAAACTTGCTAGGCCGCGCTGCCACCCTATGTCTTGTTTAAAGACTCCGAGTAAAAAAGACCTGATACCGTACTTAGCAAATTTTATATCATTTTGTAGCTTTTTTTAAGTTCTAAATTTAAATTTTTAGTTCATTCAAAAATATCAAGTTTGAAAAAAGTTACGAGTCAATCAATCTGAGCGGCGAAGCGGAACTAGCTTTCCGACGCTGTTACCCTATGTCTCGTTTAACGACACCTAGTCAAAAAGGTCTGATACCGTACTTAGCAAATTTTATATCATTTTGTAGCTTTTTTAAAGTTCTAAATTTAAGTTTTTAGTTCATTCAAGTTTTTAGTTCATTCAACTTGCTCAACTCCTTTCTTACCTGCAACAACATTCCCAACAATTCCTGTCCAGTTTTCAGTATCTTTGTGAACATTGGATTCACTGCGATGAACGACAACTCCCGATATCTGGGGAATAGTTCTGGCTGGTACGCCGGCAGATTTTTGACCTGAATAAATTTCAAATTTCAATGTCAAGTAATGGTACCCTACCTCTGGCCATTTCTTCTCATCCGGCACGCCACGAATACTGAAAATCATATCCAGCTGGTCCTTGGTTCCTGGATAATGCGAATCTTTGGATCCCGGGAACAGCGCGGTCCCGGTACAAATCTCGGCGAATATACATCCGACGCCCCTGGAAAAAAGTTTAATTTAATTTTCTGATTCGAAAAATGCTATTTTTATTCCACCAGATAAAACTTATGACCTGTAATAGAAGGGCCCTCTAACGTTTAACTTTGAGTTAATTTTTCTCGATTCCTGTAATAGATTTTAAAAAAGTTGTCAACTGATAAATTGTTTATCATGATATCAGCAATGTGTTGTCAGATGAACACTTTTAAATTTCTTGAATAGCAATTAAGATAACTGAGCTCAAACTTGACACTTACGGTAGTTAGGCTTACGGTAGCTACGTTATCTCAATCTAAAAACTCCAACCATGTAGCTTGGGAACTATTCGAAAAATATAGAAATTTTGCGAGAGTTGCAAATTTACAGTTTTCAAAACCCCAAAATGTCCCGTTTGTCCCCAAATTGTCCCCAAACGTACCACATATCCAGTGAAGTCGAGTAATCGGTACTTCCCATGAGCACATCCGGCGGACGATACCATAGCGTAACCACTTCATGAGAATACGTTCGGCTAGGCACCGATTTTGCTCTGGCTAAACCAAAATCTGCCAGCTTCAGGACACCATCATCGTCTAGCAACAGGTTTTGGGGTTTTAGGTCTCTGCAATTTTTTTTTTCGTTGGAATAGGAAACATTTGAAAGATAGTGCTACAAAAGCACTTCAAATTAGTTTAATGCTTTGCAAAACTTCTGAGAATATAAAACAAAACGCGATCTTTATTTTTGTTGTTGACAACTTTTATTTTTGTTGTTGACAAACGCGCTCTAATGAGATATGCCACGTGGAAGAAACTGTGAGCCGCCCCTAGGTGGAGGCGGAACCCAAGGCGGCTTTCACGTGGCATATCTCTTCAGGCTTAATTTTTCCAAAAAAAGTTGTCAACTACAAAAATAAAGCTCTAGTTTTGTTTAGTATACTGTAATTCTCAAAAAAATTGAAAAATTTTGAATAGGATTTTTACTCACCTGTGCAAAATCTTTTTCCTATGACAAAAATCGAGACCTCTCAAGAGTTGAAACAGCAGCAGTTTGATATCGATACTATCCAATCCGTACACATTTTGCTCCAAATACTTGCTCAGGTCCATTTTCATGTACTCGAACACGAATGTGAGTTGATGGTGTTGGTAGAAGATGTCGTGGAGGGATACAATGTTGGCGTGACGGAGGTTTCTGAGAAGCGACGCTTCACGGATCGCTGTGAATGGAAGACCCTCTTGGAATTGGAGTTTGATCTCTTTCAGCGCCACGATGGATCCGTCCAGTCTGGAATTTGAAAAGTTCTAGAAAATTTTTCAAAATTCGAAAAGGGTAGGATTATGATAAGCCTCTTATCAAAATGGTCAGCAAGCGGCTCAAAGACATTCTGGCTTCTACGCCTTATAACTTCCTTAAAACTCAACATTTTTCAAAAAAATTTAGTGCAAAATGTAGAACTCAAAAAGTTCTACAAAACCATATAAAATGCAAACATTTCTTCTGTAACGCTTTTTGATCGGGAGCCGTTAAGCGCAACTAAGGCTAACAGCACATTTCGCTTTGTCGTCCAGATGAAGCAGTGTATAACTTACTTCAAATTTAATATTTTGAACCAAACTAAAAATAGGAATATAGAACTAAACAAGAGCTTCAATTTGATATACAATGTGGCTGTTTCCACTGTAAAGCTTGCTAACTGGGAGTCGTCAAAAAATGTAGGCTTACCAGATTGGTAAGCAAGCACCTTTAAGACATACTAGCTTCTACACCTCATAACTTCCTTTAAAGGAGGCGAGACAGCGAAAATTTCGGGGGACAGTTCGGGGGACGAAATCGCGCCGCGCTTATGTAGACTATCGGTCGTCGTGCGCCTTCGCGCCCCCGTAGCTCAGCCGGTAGCGGCGCTGTACCCCTGAGCTGCCTGTCATGAGTTCAACCCCTCATGGGGGTTCTCTATGCAAAATATCAGGAAAACTTTTTTTTTGGTGTCTGGCCTCTTTTAATCTCAATATTTTCTGTAAAAAATTAAGTGCAAAATGTAGATCTTGAAAAGCTCTACAAAATGATATAAAACTCACTTTGACTCGCACTTATAAACTGTCGCATAAGATCCCTCGCCCAGCTTCTCGATTCTTCTATACAAGTCGTTTACATCCTGTGGCGTCACTTCCTCTTTCGCCGGCAACGTTATCGTATTCGGATCGTAGTGAGCCGACCGTGGCCGACGTTTTCGAAGATGCGTAAAGTCGGCCACCGTACTACTCGATGGTGGAGGTGGCATTGTGGATGGCGAGGTTTTGGTTGTGGAAAGGGTTTCTGATGGGTTGTTCGAGCGAGAGCGGGATTGGCGGCTGGAAAATGGATTTTTTTTAGCTCTAATTTTCTAGCTTCCTGTGATAGATATGAAAAAATAGTCAACAGACAAAATAATTAGCATGTTATCAGCAACAATTTGTTAGTTGACCGCATTTTGATATCTTTTACAGGAGCTGGGATAAATTGGCTCAAATGTTGGGATCGTTCTGATCTAGGCAGTGAGCAGGACGACCGTTAACTTTGAGCCCGTATATCTCATTTTCTGTAAGAGTTACCAAAAGTCTGTAAACTGATAAAATGCTTTTTATGAAATGATAAACATTATATCAGTTGATTGTTTTTTCATACCTCCGACAGAAAGCAAGATAAATTAGGTAAAAGTTAGAGGGACATTTTGAGCTTCATAGGATGCATAACGACCATTAACTTTGAGCCAATTTATCTCGGTTCCCGTAAAAGATATCAAAAAATAGTCAACTGATAAAAAACTTCTGATAATATGATAAACATTTTACTAGTTGGTTACTTTTTGATATCTCTTACAGTAATAGAAATAATTTAGGTAACAGTTAGAGGGTCGTTCTGAGCTGCACGGCGTGCATAACAGCCATTGACTTTGAGCCAATTTATCTCGGTTCCCGTGAAAGTTATCAAAAAATATTCAACTGATAAAAAGCTTCTGATAATATGATAAACATTTTATCATTTGGTTACTTTTTGATATATCTTACAGTAAGCGAGATAAATTAGCTCAAAGTTGAAAATCTGGAGTTTGGAAAAATGCCCCTAACTTGCTTCGTATTTAAGCTAGAAACTTGATTTTTGCACCGATCAAAAAATCATACAATTTTCAATTACCTCAAAAAACTAAAAATATTCTTATTATGATGCTCGGGAGTGCTTCCGGACCCTGAAGACGTCGTTCCGTTGACCTGGCTCGAGTGCCACGACTGTGTCATCTCGGTGCTGCCATTTTTGGAGAGCGGAGATTGTTTGGATCCTGGAATTTTTTCTTGATTTTCAGCTAAAAAATTATAGCTTTGATCTACCAAAAAATACTTTTTACAACTTGCCTTTCAACGAGAAGAGCCTTGAGAACATTTTTAGAATTTTCTAGGCAAAGAAAAATGTGACTAGTATTGTTTACTAGACTAAAATAGTTTGAAAATTGGCTCCAATTCTTTTCTTTTTTTCAAATTTCCCCCCCCCCCCCCCCCTTAAAACTCACCATTCGTCTTGTATTTCTTTTCCTTATTTCGACTACGACGAAGTGTGAAAATTGAAGATGACTGAAAAAAAAAATTTTGGGAAAATTTTAGGCAATTTGAACTGAAAATTGTACTAAAATTTATTTTTCTAGAGGGAAGAAGTGGTCCAGGAAGTGGTCGCGTGCCGGAAACTGACCTTCCGGGTGCTCGGCGAGCCGTCGACGTCCTGAATTCGTTGGGGAGACATTGTGGTGATCTGGAATTCGAGAATTGGAAAAGTTCGAAACTTTTGAAAGTTCCAAAATATTCGGATAACTTTGAATTTTGAAAATTCGAAATTCCCCATTTTAAGATGTGAATTCTAGCAAAATTAGGAAATTTAGAGATCCGGGTTCTTCAAATTCCAAAAGTTCTAAAAAGCTTGGAATTCTAAGAATTTCAGAAAGTTCTGAAATTTCAAAAAAATCCAGGAATGGGGAATATGCAATTTTTAACATTAGACATGGAAATCGAGATATTCGGAAATTCAGAAATTCAGAAATTCAGAAAATCAGAAATTCAGAAATTCAGAAATTCAGAAAATCAGAAATTCAGAAATTCAGAAATCCGGAAATTCAGAAATTCAGAAACTCAGAAATAATAAAACATACCCGATGCAAATTCTCCGATGATTTTGAATTTCGGACAGTTGTTAATTGTGGATGATGTATCATTGATAATGAGCATGATGCCCTCATTGGTCGTTCCGTCTCCTCTAATCCAAACCATACTCCAATATGAGAGGTTATTTTTCCCCACATTTGAGCGAATAGTCTGAAAAAATTTTATTGATTTTTTATCAATTTTTTTGAGGTCGAGAAATTCTAGAAAATAGGGAAAGTTGCACGAAAAAACACGAATTTTTGAGGTGAAAAGATTCGAAAAATTCGAGATACCGTAAACACTCTAATAGAACTCCACCCAAACCATCCGCTTTGAGCCGATGTATCTCATTTCATGTAAAAGATATCAACAAACTGTAAACTGATAAAATGTTGTTAATATTATGATAAACATTATCTTAGTTGACCACTTCGTGATATCTTTCACAGTAACCGAGATATATCGTCTCAAAGTTGAATGTTCTGGTGGAGAGTCCTTATGGTGAATTGAATTGAAAATAGTCAAACTTAAAGATATTCAAATGCACCAAAAATTTCAGAAGCTTGTCGAAAACAGCTGCAGCAAAAAGCTTTGCTGAAAATTTTGAAAAAAAAATCCATTTTTAATTAATTTCAGAAAAGAAAAAAAGAAAAGAAGATGAGGCACTGTGAATGAATATGAATGAAATAATTAACTAGAAAATGGGAAAAAAAGGAAAACGGAGAAGAAAATTTAATGAGAAAATAGAAGAGAAGAAAGACAAGGAATTTTTAGAAGTATTTTTTTTAGTTTTTGAATTTCTGAATTTCTGTTTTTTAGAATTTCTGAATTTCTGAATTTCTGAATTTCTGAATTTCTGAATTTCTGAATTTCTGTTTTTTAGAATTTCTGAATTTCTGAATTTCTGAATTTCTGAATTTCTGAATTTCTGAATTTCTGAATTTCTGAATTTCTGTTTTTTAGAATTTCTGAATTTCTGAATTTCTGAATTTCTGAATTTCTGAATTTCTGAATTTCTGAATTTCTGTTTTTTAGAATTTCTGAATTTCTGAATTTCTGAATTTCTGAATTTCTGAATTTCTGAATTTCTGAATTTCTGAATTTCTGTTTTTTAGAATTTCTGAATTTCTGAATTTCTGAATTTCTGAATTTCTGAATTTCTGAATTTCTGTTTTTTAGAATTTCTGAATTTCTGAATTTCTGAATTTCTGAATTTCTGAATTTCTGAATTTCTGAATTTCTGTTTTTTAGAATTTCTGAATTTCTGAATTTCTGAATTTCTGAATTTCTGAATTTCTGAATTTCTGAATTTCTGTTTTTTAGAATTTCTGAATTTCTGAATTTCTGAATTTCTGAATT